CTGGTTACTAAGTACACATTCCTGAAACATATACAGTGCTATTAACAAACACCATTAAGACAAAATAAAAGGAGGTGACATATGCTGCTGGATATCTGTTATGTCTCATCAATTATGTTAAGTTATTCATGTTCATGTTTAAAGTTATGTCATGCCTGTGTTTAGTTCATGTTTAGTTATGTGTGTTTTGAGCACTCTATGTTTAGTTTAAACTTCTCTCATGTCTAGTCTCGTCACGCACTTCCTGTTTTATTTTGTACTCACCTTTTCCCTCTCGTTTCAGACCCTGACTTCCTCCATTTGTGTGAATTTCCCCCCTTGGTGATCGTCTTCCCCGCCCCTGATTGGTTTCACCTGTTTTCCCCTTCATCATGTATAAATAGTCCTCGTCTCCCTTTGTCCTATGCCAGTTCGTCTTGTTCGTTCCATGAGAGTTTATGAGAGTTTCGCCGCCAAGCCAAGTTTGTTTGCCTTTTCAAGTTTATGATCTTTTGTTTGACTCGCATTTTTTGCAAGTGTTTTGTTCTGTTACTTTTTTGATCCTCCAAGAGAGCGCTTTTTGTTTGTGCACTTTTAGACTACCTTCTTTTGAGTCGTGCATTTGAGTCCACCAGCATTTGTGTCTGAGGTCGTTACAATATCTTATGACTCATACTCTATACATCCTGCTAGCCAAGCCTTTCTGCTGTACCAGTGACGGGAAAATCAGAAAATCAGCTATCAGAATTGCCCTTCGGGCATTATTCTTGACGATGTTGATTGGCCAAAAGTACTATGCCGTACACATATCTTACCCAGCAACAGTCCGTTATTGGCTATTCGTCTCTGAACATATTTATTTATATGTTATACAACACATATTATTGTGAAATTTAAACACATAAATACAAATTTATCATAGCTAATGTTAGATTTTTCTATAAAAAAAATAAAACACTCTCCACAAGGGAGGGCGGCGCCCTAGCACCCTCTATTGACCGACCGCTACTGAGAGAAACCCTCACTGATGCACCCATCTTGAGGGTTTCCACTGCACAGAACCTGACCCCAAACTTTCATGAATTGGCAGCCAAGAAAAGATACCAAACATCTGGCTCTGGCATATGTACATTAAAGAAGAATCTAGTCTACCTAATTTTTTTCTTTTTGCACTTAATCCATTATCCTGTCTATCCTGTTTATAAATGTTGATCCTGATTGGCCCTCAACATAGTCACAGTTTTTAATTTTGGCCCTCTCTGTGATTGAGTTTGACACCACTGTTATAACTGATGATGCATCTCTTTTCCAGGCAGTATCTATGAGTGTGGACCTGAAGATGCTGGCCAAGTACTTCAAAGGTGACCACTGGTCCAGACCCAGACTATGTCACATTTGGAGACATCCAGAGTATGGCCTGGGGATGACCATCAACCCTCTGGAAGGTACAGACACACTGTTGTTATTGTTAGATAAAGTGTTGACTACTCATTTACGCCTAATCTGTGAGTTTGTGTAATTTTACAAATTGGCAAATCAGTTGTTATACCAGCAGATGTGATGACCCACTGACCAATAATAATTCACAACCCTGCACTCATTTCTTTGCCTAAAGGGATATTTCGCCAAAATGTTTTAATTCACTCATTATTTACTCACCACTATGATGATGGAGGGGTGGGTGAATCGTTTGAGTCTTTAAACACTTCTGAAGTCTCAGGAGTAAACAGCATTTGCAGCTTAATCGAATACAACTAAAGAAAGAAAATATAATCGAAACTGCGTCATTTACACTGTGTTTTAAGCCTAAATGTCCTCTAATGTCCTCCTTGGAGGCACGTTCATATTCTCAAGGACAAATGGCATACACTATTGCCCAAGGTTTTTTGGTGAACTATCCCTTTAATAGACACACCCAGCATAAAAATATATGGATTCAAAGGTTGATACTGTGTTCTGCCTGAAGCTGAAGTTATTGATGACCACACTGTACCAAACCACATTTTATCTGACTTGCACTTCTGTTTATATAGCTATAGCACAGGTTGCCTAGATTCCTAATAGTTCTAACTGTTGTGTTTCCATTTCTCTTTTCGTTTATGGATTAAACAAAAGAGATACTGCATGTTAATGACTGAGCTTTACAGATATTGATTAGTGAGTTTTTTGAACTGCAGTCAGTACCAAGCTGTATGCTTAGCAAGGCTAATGAGGTATTGACCAGCTCAGTAACAAACAAGCTGCCCAGAGATTGTTATCCATCTGCTCATCTCGCTCAGAATGAAAGAAGTAGTCATTTCCAAAATGTTGAACTACAGCTAAGAGCCACATTCTAGGTTATCTCTGGTTTATCTTGCTATGAAGAACAAGAATGGAATGCCACCCCATACAGCTAATGATGATGATAATCATGATAATCATGACAGTTTGGTCTTGCCACCAGGTCAGAAAGGCCAGTACACTGTGAGCACAATGACTGATGGTCCAGCAGAGAAAGCTGGTGTCTGCACTGGAGACAGACTGATCTGGATCAACGGAGTCCTTGTGTCAACGCTTACATACTCCTCTCTCAGCAAAACTGTATGGGTCTCTACAATCACATCTACCCTGTCTACTACCTCTTAGCCTGAACAGGTATGTGACTTCAGCAGTGTTTTTGGTTCTCAGGTGAGGAAGAGTGGAGACTCAGTGACAGTGCTGGTCACTGACAGTTTGAGTGAAGCCTGCTATGTGAGGAGGAGGATGCCCATCCTGCCTGTAGTGGCAAAATGCAATTGCCTCCCCCACTATGCCAAAACCATGTACCTAGCTAAAGGACCCAATGGATATGGCTTCCTGCTGAGACAAGAAAAGCTTGTAGCCATGCATTTGACAGGTAAGACTGATGGATACTGATGAAAACATGACATACACACAATCACTAGGGCTAAGGCTGGGTGATATGGAAAGAAAAAACATTTTTTCACATCAGTTGATATCAATATATATCACAATATAAATCCAATCACTTTTTCTGTCATTTCTGCTTCAGTTGGGAATCTTGGTTTAGGGAATCCTAAACCTTGGGAATGTTTTATATCGCTACACAATATGGGACATAATTAAATTTTTGGATAAACAGATGGGTTTTGATTACCATCACACTAGTATAATAAATAGAGGTCTTAGAGACAACATAATGTCTACTTCCGGACTAAATTCACATGGCCTTCTGTTCATCATAGGATCAATGTAAAACTTTCTTGTTAACTTTTAAATCCCTTAATGGACTGGCACTGCCTTGCCTGGCTGAAGTCCTTCATGTTCACACTCCAGTTAGAGAGCTGAGGTCAGCCATTGAGCTGCTCCTGGACTTGCCTAAAACTAGACTCATAACCAGAGGCGATCGAGCCTTTGCAGTAGCCACTCCAAACATCTGGAACAGCTGACCACTCTATATTAGATCTGCCCCCTCTCTTCATATAATTATTAAATACATACATAATCTTCGGTGCGCCGTAGAGAAAGGTCGCACTGACAATGGCTCTGCACGCACTACGCAGTTTTATGTTTATTTCGCTCTTGTTTGTTTTTTTGTACACACTGCACTGTCGCTCATACAGTATGATCGACTCGCACTTTTGGATATACGCTCTTCGCTAAATACGGAGTTTTTCTCAACTTACCGGAGTGCTTGCTGCGGCCCCTTTGTTCTACCGCCGCTATGTTTACCAATACGCCGACGGAGAAGAAAGAAGAGAGGGAAGCGCGCCGGTATCCTCTGCAGATCTCGGACGAGATGCTGCAATCCCCCGCTGCCGAGCATTCTGCTCGCAAAT